ATTGCCATAGCTCCGCGCACAGATTTTTCCACTAACCTTTATATCTACTGACTGTCTAACCAAGAGGACCTCAAATTCGGGGTCGCCCACACCGAAAACCCCTAGCTACCACGTTTTCCCGTTCAGTTTTCACCAGAAAAAGGAAGGGCTATGCATCCTTTGTCTCCACCATAGCCACTTCCCCCGTCGCTGCGTTCCTTCCTGTTGCGCATGCACCCGACTTCCAACCCCGACCCGATTCATCCGCCCTTCTTACTGCCTTCGCTTCACTACTCCGCCTCATCACTCCCACATCGCCCGTTAGCCTGCTGCGCTATCTTTCCGTCCGCTGCTGCGCAGCGCTGCCAGGGCAGCCGCAATGGCCTGGTCCCATTGCCCGACGATTCCAGTTGCTCCGTTGTCAACAGTGGCAACAATTTTTGGAGAACCACAGAGGACACTAGCTAATAGTCAACTGGATTAGTCCTTCCGTCTCTTCCCTCAAGTCCTGCGAACGATTTCAGTGTCAGTGCCGCTGAAAGCCTCGCCGAAGTCTCCCCTACTCGTTGTGTTCTAGCAGAGCGAGTCCCCTCTTTCGGCTTCTGACGAGCATGCCTGTACGTAGGCAACAGGCTGCAGAGTCAAATGCTTGGGTCCGCTACAAGCCTATGACACGGCCCCTAGGGGAAGCGGAGCCTGGCACAGATCTCGAAGGCAATGACAGGGCTAGGCGGACCTCCTTCCTTAGCACCAAGTGGCCCCCGCCTAGGCATTGTGCGACATCTTCCGGGTCCCATCGGGCATGCTCACACCCGGGCTTTTTACAACAAATAGCGGCCGATAGCGACGCACCTACAGAAAGTGGCCGCCTCCAAGTTTCTCACGCCGCGTGGGTTAATCACCTAGCAGCTTTTATGCACATTAGACTCCTCGGTCTGTATTTCAAGACGACGAAATGAATAAATTTCGCCACCATCCCGGACGCTCAAGAACTCACAAGTCAACCAAAAGAGGCGCGCGCCCAAGGTCCTCGACTGTCGTGACGGCCTTTAAGCCCGACGTCACGTCCGGATCAACGGCACACTGGGATATAACAAGAAAAAATTAATAGAAGTACGACGCTAAAAAAAATTTACTTAGTGCCACCACTGAACGGACGTCGCCGACGGCAAACCCGAAGGGGATAGCCCCGTCGGACCCTCGTCCTTTCGGTCCCTTTGCGCTACTCTGATATCCCCGCATTGTCGTCGCTCGACCTCGATCCTCAAACTTCCCTGATGAGAGTCTGACGCCGTGGCCGCTAGTGCTAGGCCCAAGCCTTGGTCTTGCTCTGACTGACACTTAAAAGTAAACCAGCATTGCGTGACGCGCAGACCTACCTAATCGTTTTCAGAACCACCCTGTTGTCGAGGTCGTCCTCCGCACGTACGCACGAGTCACAAGTAAGCGCTCTGATCTCGAGACATCATCCAATTAACCCTAGTTTAATCAAAAGTAAAAATCCGACCGGCGATCATGCCGACTCTTCAACCATTAACAAATAAAATGATCACGCGCGCCTCAAATCTGTGCGCCGACACTCTCTCTGTTCTAGTCAACCACTTCGTCAACGTAAACCACAGACACAACCGCACCTCGCGCGGTATTCTTAAACTTTAAACCAAACTTATTTTCTGTCACTTGCAAAAGACTAGGGCGGATACCCTTGTAAGGGTATTCGCACCGACAGCGCTGCGGGCGTTTTCTCGAAATTCGATAGCTGACACTGTTTCCACCATGTCGCAGTACGACCGGAAGACAGACCCAAAATGACCTTTGTCTTGTTCGAGGGCACGTGGCGGTGGGTCAAATGCCCCATGGAAATATGCAACGCACCCGCGATGTTCCAGCGAGCCATGAATATGGCTTTCGCAGAATTCGTTAACAAAACCCACCTCACCCAAACACTGGTAAATTTTTGTGTAGTTGTGTATATAGATGATATCTTGTTTTTTTCCAAAACCTACGAGTACCATGTGGAACATGTCGAGTGGGTCTTGCATGCATTGAAAGATGCGGGGTTCAAAGTAGTCTTGGAGAAAAGTGAGTTTTTCCTCTCGGAGATCTCCTTCTTGGAGTACATCGTTACGATGGATGGCTTGAAACCGGATCCAAGGAAAGTGGCAGCAGTACAAAAAGCCCCGGTGCCTGTCATGCTCACTCAAGCTCGAGCCTTCCTCGGCCTGGCCTCATATTATCGGCGGTTCATCCAAGGGTTTGCTCACGTCGCCAAGCCTCTGACCAACTTGCTGAAGAAAGAAGAACGACTGATCTGGACGTCGAAGTGCGAGGCGGCTTTTTAGGCACTCAAAAAGGTCCTGGCTACGGCGCTGATCCTGGCGCGCCCAGATCCAATTAAACTGTTCGCTCTACGCACCGATTGGCAGCCGCAGGCAATATCAGCGGTGCTGAGTCAACAGGGAACAGACGGAAAGGAGCACGTTATGGAATACGTGCCGAAGACACTGAGCCAGACACAAGCGAATTACAAAGCTTGCAAGGGTGAATGTTTGGCGGTAGTGTGGAAAATCCAGCACTTTCGACCATATCTCCGCGGCCAGAAGTTCGTTCTCTTGACGGATCATCAGTCGTTGTTGTCCTTATGAAACAACACGGATTATACGGGAACCTTGGGAAGGTGGGCAGTAAGGTTGCGTGACTAAGCAGCACGGAAACGCGGACGGACGGACTCGCCTCCAGCCACCCAAGTAGTGCCCAACGAACGAGCGACTTATTCCGTGGAAAGAAGCTTTGCCTTTGACGGAGCCTCACTATGGAGAAGTACACGTTGTTCGCAAGGGAAACACTGGGGCATGAGATGGCGACCCCTCTTGAGTCTTGAAGCGACAACTGCCCCGTCATCTTCCTCAGGCTCTTCAACCTATCCGTCTATCCCTCACTCTCCCCCTAGCCTATCCCTGCGTTCCTGCTTTTTCTGCACCTTGCCTATGATACCGGACCGGGGGGACTCACACCCTGGAGGACCTAGTTTGATCTCATGGGTACGATGCAGCCTGTGCCGCATGACCAGATCCCACATATATAATTGTGTCAAGTATCGGAATGAGAAGAAGTGGGACTGTCCCAACTGCCGAATGGACCAGGTACCTATAGAAACACGGTATGTAGAGGCTAGGACAGAAAACGGATTCTTGTCGAGTGTCCGTAGAGCAGAGGTCTGGACGGATCTCCTCCTGTTGAGAAGACTCCAGGGAGACCAGTTGTCGGAGCTTACCAAGGCAGAACGTCGGCGAGTCCCGAAGCGAGCTCATGATTATCATTGGCAGGAATCTGTTTTGCAAAAACGGAAAGACAATGACAATAGCGGGTCTAGTTGGATGACGGTTCCACACCCTCTAGACTCTCACTAGGTTCGATTAGACACGAGCTGCCTACGAAGAGGATGTGGTCCATTTCGCGGTCAAATGCACGGAAGCTATAGAGAAAAACGAATGGTATTGGTCGGGAATTCGGGAGGATGTCAGATACACCGTCCAGAACTGTCCGGCCTGTGCGGCTGATAAGGCGCCGGTACAGATGCCCTGAACGATGCTACCGACTAGGGTAGAACGCCCCTTTCAACGAGTTAGCATCGATACAACGAATATCAATGTACCGAAAGGTCCCGTCGATCAAAGCGAGCTCAATATCCTTCTACTGGTCGTCGACCATTTCTCTCAATGGATCGAGGCCTGCCGTATGACTAGTCAGAACTCGTAGGAAGTAGCCTAGTATATTAATCGCTTTTTGTGCATGCACTTGGACGTATAAAAGGTCCAGATGGATAACGGGTTGGAATTCCAAGGGGAGGTAGAACGACATCTCGTAAGGGCCAACGTTAAGATTTCGTACTCACCAGGACACTGGCCACTGCCTGAGGCCAACGGAACATCACTGCAGGAGATACCAAGCCCTGGCCTATCCTAGTTGAGCACATACTGACCGTCTATCAGGCTACCCCACACGGTAGTACAGGGGTGTCCCCATTTCAACTGAGAACCAATAAATCCCTCTGATGCAGTTGTCACCCCTAGTGGGTACGGAAGTAAGAGCGACCCGGGCTCAACAGCGAGAAAAGGCCCAGCATTACATGGATCTGATGGCTAGGACCTACCCTGTGTTAGCCCGCATGCGACAAAGGGTCGTGGATCTGGCGCACCAGCGGCAGATCGGAGATTACGAGAACCGACATGCCTCCACTGGTCCACTATCCCGCTATAAGATCGGGGATCTAGTGCAGGTACGGAAATCCACGCGCTCCTCCGAGATCCACCCTGGCTATACTGGCATTTATAAGGTGACGGAAGTTGGCGCGCAAGGCCAACAGTCCGTGAAGCTAATCCCCCGGCACAGCGCACAGGCAAGGCCGCTGACTCGCCACGCTGCTGCCCTTCATCCATTCCAGCCATTGCTTTATCATGAGCGGGCTCAGGACCCATCTCAACCTTCTTCCTCTGCTTCCTCATCCGCACTTGCTTCTTCCTCCTCTTTTTAAACCACTTCGCCGTTTGGGGTTGAGGACTCGATCGCGCAGGATGAGCCAGCTGCAGCAGGGGAATGAACCAGTTGAGCATTTCCAAGCACCGATCGTGGATCACTTATTGAGGCATCGACTCAATGATGATCAGGAGTTGCGGTACGACGTCCAGCAGGTGAATGTGCCTGGGCCCAGCATCGCAGATCTCGCCACATACTCGCTCTTGAGCAAACGAGTAACCTACGGGGGGGTGTACGTTGGTCGGGAAACCACCAGGGTGTCCATCGAGTTCCGCGCACTCCAGGTGGTCGCCAACTTCGTGCACAGCGTCGCCACTTTCATCGGCGACTTGACGCTCCTAGACGATCGACATCGAGGACCGGTGTGGAACTTCTTGCGAGAGTATGCGGTACAGGTAGCGAGAACAGTGGCGCGCGCACAGGGAAGGGGCCGTCGATTCACGCCGTATCACGCACTGTTGCGACGGACGCCGGATGGACCGCTGGCACTTGTGCCTCAATTGCCTGCGCTTCTCCCCCCCACTAATCCTTTAAACATCCAAGCCATCCCCACCCCTTCATACTAAATGTCTCCCTTCTTCTCTTACACCACCCTCCCCTATCAACCCACGGAGAGCCCTTACCCCATGCGCAATTTCCCTGAGTACCTAGTGGAGCTGGACAATGTGGAGCCGCTGCCACAAGCTGGGGAGTACGCGTGGGAATTGCACTTTGCGCTGTATCGATTGGTGGTGCTGGGCATGTTCCGGTTTGTCGTGTCGTACGACGATCACAACATCGTCGAGAACCTGCAGGTGTATTACGTCATCTCGCGGCCCAAACCGGAGAAGAAGGAGGGCACGGTGGCCTTATACCCGTTCGGGGAGATCGGAACGAGCAGGCCGGGGCTGCTGGAGCTGATTCATATCAAGTTGCTCTCTATCGCACAAGTGACTGCCAACGAAGAAGAGGATCTCCAATTCCATCTGCGAACAGCATCGGCTCCTCGGCGATCTTACCACTCGGTGGTGATACTGGACTATATCGTGTGGGAGGCGGAAAAGGTGGTGAGCATTGCTGATCGAAAGTCGTTTTGGCCTCCCTCATCCTACCCCAAGCCTGTAGCCCTGAGGGCCCTCAGGAAGACGCCCAAGAAGAGACGTCGCCAGCCATCGCCAGAAGCGCAAGGAAGTCGAGTGGGACCGGAAGGAGAGGTGGACAAGGTCGAGCGGGTGCATAAGCCAGATCCCGTTCCAGAGAGCAAGGCGACACCGATCGAGGGACCTCCGCGGGGTGAAGTAGCGCAAACAAGCAGATTTCGGATACGCGGGAGCCCTCCAGAGCCGGCACCTCAGCCACCACTCCTTCCCGACCTCAATCTCGATGGAGCCGGCCCATCGCTACCAGCAGGAGGAGGAGGAGTGGGAAGAGTACCATATCCTGCATCTGGACCCCCCATCCTCGCACGACCTTTCCGCTTATGCCAGCCACGCGGGCGTGCCCCGGTCATTGACCTTAGCAGTTCCTCTGAGCCGAACGGTCCACCTGACAGATGTCGCGTTCACGGTGGAGCCTGCTACCATAAGGCTCAAAGCGATCGAAGGGGCCCCGCGTCCTGATCCTGCATGGGAGCCATATCTGGAGCCGCCGTTTGAAGGATGCGTCGCGGCCAGACTAGCAGGAACGCTCATCTACGAGGCTGGCCAGCGGCCAAATGTAATGTACCATTTCCTAGCCATCGCAGTGCTTAGGAGGGAGCGAAGGCCGTATACCGAGACCCATCTGGTGATGACAGGTCCGGGGAATCGCATGGTGCGGCGACAGGTTGTACGGGCTACTGTGGATCTGGCCCCACGCGTATTGGCACACATACCTGGGGCGTTTGTTTATCCCTCCTTTGTCCAACACCACTTCAATGAGGTGGAGGCGCCGACTACTCCCACTGAGCTGGCAGCCTTTCTTCCTCCTCTTCCTCCCCCTCTTAATCCCGAAATCACCCATTTCCTCTAGTCTCTTTCTTCTTTCCCCTATCTTCTTCTTCCTTTTCTAATCTAATTGCAAAGGTCGCGCGGCAGAACGCGTTGTGTAAAAAAAAAAAAAAAAAAAAAAAAAAATGATCGGGCCAGCGGACGATGAAAGGGCCGCCCGATCAGGTGTACAATAGGAGGGGAGATCCATAGCGATGCGGTAGGCTATACCTGTCTCTTATACACATCTAGATGTGTATAAGAGACAGATATATGTATATATTTTTTTATGATCGGGCCAGCGGACGATGAAAGGGCCGCCCGATCAGGTGTACAATAGGAAGGGAGATCCATAGTGATGTGGCAGGAATCAGAGTAGAGTAGGTGATGAACTAGGCCAGCTGACGAAGAAGTGGCCGCCTGGATCATGAAGGTAATTAGGAATTTAGGAGGGCTATATAGCAGTCTGGCGACTGCTATTTTTTTCAGAACCCCCTGCGCGTCACAGATGTGATAAGCCAGGATCCGCAATCGGCGGTTTCCCGTACCCTTAAGGGAACATTTCACGTATAACCCCGAAGTATGGACTGGAGATAATGGGGGAAGGCAGTGTTTCATTTTCCTTTTTCTTTGTCCTTTTTGTTTAAAGGAAGTGGGGGTGGAATAGAAAATGTGATTCGGGTCTGGTGTAGCCGGTTAGTGGTCGCGCCAAGAAATGCAAGAAACAATTGGGACTTAGGGGAAGAAGGAATTTTGAATTTTGGGCGCGCGGCGGCTTTCGAATTTTTGGCGCGCCGCGTAAGCCTTTTCCCCCGCTCTGCATCCCCGCGCCATCTTCCCTTCTTGCGAGGCATCTCCCTCCTGCCTGTCTCTTCATCTTCCCTCTAAGCGAAGTTCGATCTCCTCCTTCTCCTTTCCCTGCGAACGATTGGCTGTCTGATTGGGATGGTCGGGGCAATGTGGTGGCCGAGGGCAACGCACCCCACTTGGACGACCACCCCAATCACGCAGAACATTCGATTCGCCTTCCTCAACCCTTCTGGAACGTCTGCCCTTCTTCTGTCTTGACCATCTACACCCCGCGCTTCACACAGCCACTCCACTGCCTTCCGCGCTATAAATGCCCGCAATCCCTTCCTCTCACTCTCTTTGATCTCGACTGCAAGCTGCGCAAGCTATGCGTGAAACCCGCGGCGTCGGAAAGGCTCGACGTGCCCCGCGGTGGGCGGAGTGACGGCGGATGGCAGAGTTAGCGGTAGACTTGGGGTAAGGCAGTCGGAGGGACTGAGCGGTGGTGGGGATCAGACGCCGACAGCGGCAGGGCCTTGTGGCTATGGTTGTCGGTGGTTTTGACGGATTGGGCCTGGGCCCGGAGCGTCCAGTTGAGAGAATTGCGTATTTGAAGACGAGGTTTTTTCTCCATTTTTGTTTTTCCCCGTGTGATGTGTGCATGACTCCAAGGGTTGGGTAATCTGTTGTGCATGTCGCGTACTAAAGTCCATGGATGTTGAATAGCTCATTGACGACTCTATGGTTATGCGTGTGTGTATGCGCCGCTGGGCCTGATGAGTGGAAGCATCGAGGTATCGAGTGTCGATTGCTTGCATGCGGGTCTGAATGCATCGGTCCTTCCCGTCTTCCTTTCTTTTTGATTATTTGTGCGAGTGTGTGTGATAGGTGCCAACCTCCTTTCGTCGTCTCTCTGTCTGTCTCCGGGCGACGGTCAGGACCCCTAGAGGAGGTGGATACTCACAGAGAGATCGGCCAGGCGCTTCTTCGCGAAGCGGCCGACCTCTCTACATCTACCACGGGTGCTCGACCTCGCGTCGAGGTTGATGATACAGAGAAGAGACGGAGAAAGAAGGCTGGGCACATCCTTCTTCAATCCCATTCATGGATCTTTGCATGGAGTCGGGTTCCGTCTCGACGGACGGAAGCGCAGGCCGTCGCCCCAGCTCGGACCTGGCCTTAGAGCGTCGCAGCACGCTTCCTCCCTTCCCGATCGCAGACGACGATGGCATCTACTGCTATGCGGACGTGCGGAGCCTGCTGCGGTGCACTGAGCCCATCCACCTTTATAACACGACCCGGGCATGCCATATAGGCGGGAGTGAGTTTGTGCTGATTGAGCGATTCGCCTCCCTGCCTTTAATTTTGCCATACACCGACCTCACGTTGTTGCCTTGGTCCGTCGTGAAGGCCACCTGGCGACTGCGGTTTAATTGCCACTGGCGTCGCCAGGGTGACTCATGCTCGTGGCGAATATTGGTCCTGGGGTACGAAGGGGCTACCCGATTCCCCGAACTCTCCCGCAACACGGGTGCGCTCCCTGCCCATTTCTGAACCTGGGTTCCGTCAACCTGCCCGACCCTGGGCGAGCCCGTGCCGCGCTGTCCGCACGGACTAGACAAGTCCGACAATGAAGCCTGAACTTGTTTTCGGGGCCCCCTAACCCCCCCCCGCTCCCTTCTTTCCAAGTCTTATGCGAACCCTGCACATCGGGAGCAGAATCCCGCCCCCGTCCGCTTCGTCTGTCGTCTCCTCTCTTCTCGTCTGTTATTTTCTCTTCTTCCCCTCATCCGCCGTCGGCGACAGCCTGAATCCCCGCCCGGGCACCTCAGGCTGAAGCAAGAGTCCCCCGTTTCATCCGGGTGACTCAACCCCCACGGCCAAAAAAGAAAAATCCTCGGCCACACCCCTAATAACTCTGATCGGCGTTCGAAGTACGGAGCGTCACACACTCTCCCTCTTCTCGTGTTGCCCCCTAACCTCTCGTTGCCGATCACCCATCCATCCTCAAATGCCCTAACTAAGTCATCCTTAATATTTTTCGGGAGGAATCTGGCCTCATCCTTGTAGATGACAGTTACGGTTCGCTCCTTTAACCATTTAAATTTGATCTTGTCCAACGAGGTGTTCAGTTCGAACCTCACCTCTCTCCCTTCCACCATCATCTCCCCCGGGTTTATCTCCGTTGCGTACACTCCCTCATCGAAGCACATCTGTAATATGTCTTGAATCCTGTCTTTGTCTTCCCAGTAGTCCCTCTCAACCGGTGGCGCCACGGGAGGAGACCTCCCTGTGCCCTCACCTCCAGGTGTCGACTCCATCTCGTACACAAGTCTTGAATCCTGTCTTTGTCTTTGTTTTTGCATTTTCTTCAAAAATTGGCAAAAATTTGTTCACAAAAGTTCTTGCACAATTTGTGGATGGCCCCTTGTGACCAGCCAAGTACCAAATCCCCATTTCTCCAGATGGCCGCGACCTTGTCCCATCTGAGGGCATACTCAGGGCACGCTCACACTGCGGTAGCAAATCCGTATAAATTGCGAAAATGGGTTGGGCCGAATTGGGGTATTTGGAACGTTTCAGGTCACACTGCGTTCACACCGCGTTCGCATTTCGCTAAAGACTCGGTCGCTACTGTGCCATCAGGGTGCTGCTGTTTGGGGTTTCCAGTCACACAGAAGTAACCCCAAATATAGAACGTACATGTTCCCTTTTCAACTTTGCATTCATTTACGAAAATTAAATAAAAAAAGAATAAGGATTTTGCGGTAACCTCTGGAGGTTACCGCAAATTCCTCAAACCCGCGGCCAGGCAGGCCGCTGACAAATGGGTTTGCGAATGGGGTGTTTGGGGTTGGAACCATTGTGTGTGACCAGCCGTGTGCACATTTTTTTGGGAGTTTTACGGTTTTGGTACCCAGTGTGAGCTTGCCCTCACACGGGGACCTACAATCCCAAAATCCCAGAAAAAAGGGTAAAAGGCCGGTCACACGGATCTACCAAATTCGCAAATGTACTATTCCAGTGCCAATTTGTCAGAGGCCTGGGAAGCCGCACGGCAAGGGATTTTGCGGGCACCTCTGGAGGTGACTGCCCGCAAATGCCCTTTTTCATTTGTTGCATTTTTCTTCAAAAATTGGCAACAATTCGTTGACAAAAGTTCTTGCACAATTAATGGATGGCGCCGTGTGACCAGCCGAGTACCAAATCCCCATTTCTCCAGACGGCCGCAACCTTGTCCCATCTGAAAAGGCACAGCAGTGTGACGTGAACGATGCCCAAAACCTCAAATCGGCCCTTCCCAAATTACGGATTAGGGGTCGCCGTGTGAGTATGCCCTCAGCCTCGTTTTGCACATTTGGATGCCATTGGGTTTCACGCAGAAATTGGGCCAAAAAGTAGAATGTACCATCTCCTCCCCTCTGCAAATCCACAAAAGACCAAAGAGGTTTGGATGTATATTTCCATGTTCTAGCGGAAAATTCAGTCTCGTTTTGCACATTTGGATGGGTTTCACGCAGAAATTGGGCCTCCCTCCACTACTCTCGACATGCAAAAAAGAAAAAAATAATGGCGGTATATCTTTCCATCTTCTAGCCGGAGATTAGGGCCTCCACTGCACTTCTCTCCACAATCACAAAAGACAAAAGCCAGCCTGAGGCCGGTTCAGTAAAAAAAAAAGAGAAAAAAGCAGATCAGCGGTGATCTTGTGCACCTCCCCACAAACACGACCAAATTCAGGAGCTAATTTAATCCAATCCTCTCCGACGGTGGGACCTCGCCCCAGGGGTACGTGTTGCGATCGAAAATCCAGGTGATAAGAGATTGGCATGTTCACGTGTCGTTTCATCCGTATTTCATCCGCTATTCTCGTCGTTTTCTCTCTCTGATATCCAGTCGTTTCGTGCCTTCTCCTCTCCTCGTT